AAGAAGGTAAAGTAAAAGAGAAAAAAGAGATGTGACATCAAGTAAATATGTTATTTGGAAGTTTCCACTGAAGGCTAGACTGAGCTTCTTGTACCTATAAACGGCAGTAATGATTTCCACTGGGTTTAATTATACCAAGTTTATATGAATTCCATAATAGAGCCTGAACGGATTCACACAATCATTAACAGAGCTGGAATTTGAACTAGGGAGGTTAATTCTAGGAGCTGCAATCATACCTTGCATCATATCTCAAATTTATGGACAGACTAATTTTATTTCCATCTTAGAACATTATACTAACTATTAGTGCTTGTCTTTTAAATTGTGGCTAGGATTCCTCCTCTTTAGCATTCACTATTTATCTCAAATGTCACCTCTGTGAAGTTTTCCCTGATCACTTAATTACTTAATGATTTGCCTATTTGATCTTATAGGCATTGATACTTTATGCGACTGTGTTATGTTTTATTTGTTTATTTTCTATCTCTATTCACAGTAAAATCTAGGCAGGGATTTGATTGTCTTAATCAATCTAGTATCTCCAACTATTCAAGGCAGTTTGACAGGCTATTGCTCAGAGAATAATTGTTTAATACATAAAAGATTTATTACAAAGTGGAAAAGATGTCTGGCAACAGTGTGGAATATGGACTGCAGCGATAAAGGTGTTAGTAAAAGACCAGTAAGGAAGTTACTTCATATGAAGACTGATGTTTGAAATAGAAGTGTAAAAAGTATGCATTAAAACAAGAATTCTGAAACTGATTGACTTGAATAATCTCTAGATAATTTGGAATAAGAAAGTGCCATTAATGTAAGTAAGAGAGAGTAGAAAATGAAGATCAGATTGAGAAAATTATAAATGGAATTCACGGAGTAATTTAAAATTTGAGATGTGTCTAAAAGCAAAATATATGGAGTCAGACTTATCAGATAAATCAGGACCAAAGACAAAGTTTTCAAATAGTGTATGAGTTACCAAAGGTGATAATGAGAAGGAAAAAGTGGTTTAATATGAAACTCTCAAATGCAATTTTAGAGACAGACAAAAATACAAAAGAGATAATAAAAAGAAAACTAGGAAGACATGGTTTTATTAAATTGAAAGGATAAAGGATATCAAGAGGACAGAGATTATTCAACTATAGAAAGGAATAGCATGATTTTTAAGGTAACACATGGGATTTGATGAACAGTTATCTTCTGATACTGACAAGGTGGTTTTGGAAGAATGCTAAGGTTCTAAGGACCTCAGATGGAAGAAGTAGTAGTTATGATTTCTCTTGGTAATGAAAGGCAAAAAGTAGAGAGGGGAAGAAATCTGCTCTCATTAAGAATAATCTGGAAAAACAAGATTCAACACAGAGGGAATGCATTGCACTCAGTTGAGAGTGATACTATAAACCTAAAGAATGACTTGGGTACCCTTCATGAAAGATTACAGAAATGAGACAGAGCAGTTTGTAGGATCTATATTTTTTCCAGAAGGTTAGAAAATTAGGATAAGGACAAAAAATTAAGTTCCTTCAATGGATAAAATCATGTGTCTGTTTTTATTCAGAAATTTTTTGCTATTAGATTACTAATTATATTTTTTTACATTTTTAATTATAAAAATACTGTACAGGGGGGTTACAGTTACATGAGCAAGGTAATGAGTACATTTCCTATTGAGCATTGTTGCCTCCTCCTTTGTTTCCCCCCTACTGCACCTCCCCCCCTGCCCACCTCCACAATTAACCCTCCCAAAGTTGTAAAGTTCATTTTCAACATAGTGTTTTGTACATCTCATTGTTACAATGGGTCAACCTGTATCCTTTTTTTCCCTTCTCCTCCCCAAATTAGAGAAGTGTATATACAAGATTCAGGGCACCAACATCAAATACAGTGAAGACAGGGCTTGTACCATGGGGGAAGAACATACAAAGCAACAAAAAAAATCACATGGTATATTATAAATATGTTAGAAACTATAGCAAGTAAGAAAAAAGGTATTTGTGTTCCTATCTTGGGGTTCATTTCACTTAACATCATCATGGTCGAATTTTAAAAAAATAATAGATTTTAGTTGTGCTGGTAGCTTTAGTATAGCCTTCGGGTAAATGCCCAAAAGTCGGATTGCTGGGTCATAGGGGAGCTCTATGTGGAGTCTTTTGAGGAACATTCATATTACTTTCCAAAGTGGTTGAACAAGTTTACATTCCCACCAACAATGCAGTAGGGTTCCCTTCTATCCACATCCCCTCCAGCAACTGTTGTTAGAGTTCTTGATTATAGCCATTCTAACTGGGGTGAGGTGGTATCTCAATGTTGTTTTGCAGCACTATTTACCATAGCTAAGATATGGAACCAACCCAGATGCCCCTCAGTAGATGAATGGATCAAGAAAATGTGGTATATATACACAATGGAATTCTATGCCTCCATCAGAAAGAATGACATTGCCCCACTTGTTAGGAAATGGAAAGACTTGAAATAATTATATTAAGTGAAGTAAGCCAGGCCCAAAGAAACATAGGTCCCATGGTTTCCCTTATTTACAATATCTAGTATATGTCTGAGTCAAGCAGAAAAGGTCAGATAAGATGATGTTAGGTGAAATGAACCTTAAGATAAGGATACAAGTGTTTTTTTTTCCTTTCTTGCTATTGTTTCTAACATATTTATAAGGTTATTGTTTTGTTACTTTGTATGTCCCTCCCCTATGGTATAACCTGTTTTTACTGTATTTGGTTGGTATAATTTGGGGAGGGGAAGGGAAAAAACAAATTGTTTATATAGGGATACAGGTTGACCCTTTGCAATAATGAGATGTACAAGACACTATGTTGAAAAACGAACTTTACAATTTAGGGAGAGTGGGGAATGGGAGGGCAAGGATGGTAAGGGGAAACAAAGGAGGAGGCAGCAATGCTTGATAAGAAATGGACTCATTACCTTGTTCATATAATTGTAACTCCTCTGTACGGTATTTTCACTATAAAAAACGTATTAATAATAAAAAATAAAAAATAATAAATCTTGAGTTTGACCAGATAAAGCCGATAAAACAGTAAAGACTGAAAATTTAATCTTTATTTAGCATTAACAGTATGGCAAGTAGATAGAAGGGAACATTTGGGAACTATGGCATTCACTCTTTATATCAAATTTGATCGATTGATGGATGGATTGATTTTTGTGCTGATCCTGGAGCTTGAACTCAGGGCCTGGGTGCTGTCATTGAGCTTTTGTGCTCTAGGCTAGTGCCCTACTGCAGGCACCACAGCACTTTCTGTTTCTTTTGCTGGTTATTTGGAAATACACATGTTATGGACTTTCCTGCCCAGGCTAGCTTGGAGCCACAGTCCTCAGATCTCAGCCTCTTAAGTAGTTCAGATTACAGGGGTGAGCCACTGACCCCAGCTTCAAAGTTGTTGTTTTCTTTGTTTTTGTTTTAGTTCATTTTGTTTTTCTTAGCATTCTAATTACAAAACTATTTTCTAGATCTACATGCATATGTACTCACATTAAGAATTCAAGGTCAGGAGGTGGAGGTGTGGCTCCCAGGGTAGAACACCTGCCTAGCAAGTACAAGGCCCTGAATTCAATCCTTAGTACTGCCAAAAAAAAAAAAAAATCAAAAGGTCTTTTAAATAGAATTTCACATATCTTTTATTTTGAAAAAAACTATATGTAATTCATAAATGCAATGATTTATCCCAGAGAGTTTATTTTCATTCCTCTGTTATTTGTGGTTAGGGTCTTATTCTTACTAGACAGGTACTCTGTCACTGAGATACTCCCCAGCCTTTATGCTTTAGTTACTTTTCAGATAAGGTAATTTACTTCTGTCCAGGACTGGCCTCAGACCTCAATCATTTTACCTACTTCTTCTACATAACTGGTAATACCAGCATGTGTCACTATACTGGCTCTTTTTGCTGTGTGTTTTTTTTTTTTTTGTTGTTGTTGTTTTGACTTGGAGAGGTGTGTCTCTCTAACTCTAGTCCCAGATAACTTCAAAGATCTTCCTGATTTCCACAACCAGAGTAGCAGGGATTATGGGTACAAGCAACCACACCTAGTCAAGTATTTTACTTTCTAATCTCTTGCTGTGCTGATAAGGGTGGATTAAGGAAGTTGATATTTTAGTACTTATTTTGGAGATTTTTGCATTTACATTCACGTCTGAAGCTTAGCGGATATATGCCTATGTTACCCTTTAAAATGTTCTGATTTGTAAAGTCCTATTGATTACTTATAAGTTCATGATAATGCATATTACAGAAAATGTGATAACATAAATCAGTTTAGTAAGCTGCAATTTCTTTAGCATCAACAATTATTTTGATTTATATTTTCTTCTTAGAAGTATTTCCTCTTCATCTCTAAAAATAAAAAAATGAAAATTAAAAGTGGCCATTGTTTCTATCACCTCTTGATTTCCTGAAGATTAATTTAAGTTGCTAAAAAAATCATATTTATGGGGCTGGGAAGGTGGTTCAGTGGTAGAGCGCTTGCCTTGCATGATCGAGGCCCTGGGTTCGATTCCTCAGCACCACATAAGCAAAAAAGAAAAAAGCTGAAGTGGCGCTGTGGCTCAAGTGGTAGAGTGCTAGCCTTGAGCTGAAGAGCTGAGGGACAGTGCCCAGGCCCAGAGTTCAAGCCCCACGACCAGACTAAAAAAAAAAAAAATCATATTTATTTGAGTGATCTACACGTAAGATTAACTTTAGTTTCCAAGAGGGTCAATGAAGTTAAATGTCCAGTCTGTTTTCATGGCCAAATGGCAGAGGATTGGCTGGCATGCATCAGTTCTCTTTTTTGGCCCTACATTTCCACATGGTGATAGCTGGAGTTAAGGCATCCAATGTATTTTTATGCCAGAAATCATACTCAGGTTGTTTTTAAGCACTGAAAACTGGCTGCCACTCAGGGGAATCAATACACCCTGTTGCACAATTTTCAATCTGCCATTAATGGAAGAATAGCATTAATGATGTGTTTTGTTACAGGATAGTGCAGAACTTATCACTTCCCTGCTTCACAGTGGAGCAGATATACAGCAGGTTGGATAAGGTGGCCTCAAGGCCCTCCACATTGCTGTGATAGCTGGCCACCTAGAGGTAAGTCATGCCCTTGTCACCTGTAAAAACATGGATTACTTGGCTCTTTCAATCTCCCTCAGCCTTTCTTTGGAAAAATATTTATTGGTGTATATTAATTGAATAAAATAGTTTCATTGTGATATTTGAGCAAACAAGCATGTGTATGTTTATATATACATATATGTGTATATGTACATATGTATATATGTGATATATATATATGTGATATATATATGTGAGATATATATATATATATATATATATATATATATAAAATTTTGATCACCAGACTGGTTTTAGAGATTTTGGTTCCATTATTAGCCACTGAACATGTTCAGTACTTTTGGTAGTAAAACTCAGCTAGAGAAATATACTTTTGGTAGTCAGTTCAGTACATTTTTTACAAAAATGTAATTGAACATGAGTTAATATAAAGACAGCTGGACAAAAGCAGCTTTACAGTAATTATTTAGAGATTCTGTTCCTGAATAAAGCAGGTCAGTTTCTGTAATTTACTATTGTAGCTTTGGGGAAATTAATTGGACTCATAACATCTGTTTTCTTCATTTCAAAAATAATATGTGTGGACAAGGGCTGGATCTCAGAAGTAGAGTTCTTGTCTAGACTATCCAAAGCCCTGAGTGCTATCCCTAGTAAATTTTAGTAGGTCTATTTCCAATGAAGTGGTTAATATATATATTTTTTATTTTATTTTATTTTTTAAATTTTTTTTGGCAGTCGCTGGACTTGAACTCTAGGCCTGGGCACTGTCCCTGAACTCTTCAGCTCAAGGCTAGCATTCTATCACTTGAGTCACAGTGTCACTTCCTGATGTGGTCAATATAAAGCACTCCAAAAATATTTTGTACAGATTAAAGACTAAGGAAAAATCATTCACTCATTCATCCTCCTATGTGTTGCTTGACCAAAACATTTATCAAACGAATATGCACCCGATACTGCTGACAGTGCTGGGTTAGCACTAGTGAGAATGCGAAGCTGAACTTGCATTTTGTGAAGTTTAATTTTAAACAAGACAATAAAGGAAAATATTATATAATATTCGTTGGCAATGAGAAGTATAAAAATGATAAAATGTTATAAAATGTGCTATTTTACATAAGCTTTATATTGAGCGCTCTGAAAGAAAGTGATTTTGGAACAGAGACCTGGATAAAATGAAAATGACAACAATGAAATAGGGAAAGAATATTTTAGGCTTGAGTTATAGTAAATGCAAAGGCCATGAGGACTGAGAAAGCTAGCTCTCTTGAGGGATATGAATGAACCAAAGCTAGTTAGAGTAAAGTGAACTGAAGAAAAAGATGTATAAATGAAGTCAGGTAGAGGGAAAATGAAGTACTTTAAAGTCATTAGATAGCTTTTAATCTTGCTTTAATGTTAGTTGTCAAAATATTAATTTCATTGATACTACTTCTAAGACTGTTTGGTTAATTCCACAAATCTTCTTGAAACAGAGATTTTATTGTCAGTTCTAGAATAGATATAAAAGGAAGGCTGTTATATAGTTGATGAGAAAAAGAGCCATATTTGGAATTGTAGTCATTTTACTCAAAATATCACCATTTTCATATGCCCTCTATTGTAATAATAATCCATAGCTCAACAATGTAAAAAAATAAGAACTCTTACATCCTTATTATTAACAGCAAACTGTATTTTACCTTTTCCACTAACACATCATAAACACACATTCACTGTAAACAAACAGAGCTGTATATAGAAATATACACAAAAACCAATGCATTTGACCCAAATCTTGTCATGGTATTTTTGCTTCTTCTATGTTTTCTAGGAAACAAACTCAACTCTAAATATAAATAAGTTTGCATTCCTTATGAGAAAGTAAAAAATTTCATTAGTTTCACTAAATGAAACAATATCCAGACCCCTTTCAAAAAAGGGGAAAAAAAGCCCTGAGGCCAGTGATAAAGTAAATGGAAATGTAATCACTAAAAATCCTTGCGGAAGAACTGATAAAGAAGACATCAAGTTCCCCTGAAAGATATCCAACCTTAACTGCCAGGAAAATGAGAGAGTATGTGTCTCAAAACTAAATCTTTTTTGTCTAATGTTGAGCTAATTATATTTGTGAGTGATAGAATTGCAATGGGGCCAAGAGCAAAAAGTTTAAGAGGTTAGCCTCTTTATCTCCTCTTCAAATAGCTCTGTTGTCTTGCTTTGTAAGTAGTGGAACAGAGGAAGTATATTGATTCTGCTTGCTTCAAGGCAAACTATTAAAATGATTTCAAATAGGCCTCTACTCTTGTCTGATATTCCTACATAGGTTTTCCAACTTCTCTCATTAACTGAGTTATAATGTTCAACGACTTTTATAGTTCAGCACTCACTTCATGAAATGGGTTTAGACACATTACCCTTCATTCTCTTCTTACATAATAGATGAATTAAATTACTGATCAAGTAATAAAAGGAAACAGCATCCAAAAGGCTACTGAAAAATCAGCATCTTCAAAATGCAAAAAGTTTTCAAGTATTTCTTTGAGAACAGTTGTTAAATAAAAAAAGAAGACCTGCAATATTTTAATTCTCAAATCTACATTGTGGGGAAAAAGAAAAAAAATGCTCTAGACATGTTGATTTTCTACTGGTATCCAAATTTTGAAGTGGAAATGCTCATTAATTGTATAGTAACTTCCTTTATCTATGTTTTCCTTTCCTGAGAGCTTTGTTACCCACTGTCAACTGTGGTCTAAAATAAAATATGAAAAAATCTAGAAATGAATAATTCATAATGGGAATCTTTTGTTAACAGCATATTGTTATGTTTGTTCCTCTTTTTTTTTTTTTTAGCAGTTGTGGGGCTTGAACTCTAGGCTTGGGCACTGTCCCTGTGCTCTTCAGCTCAAGGCAAGTGCTCTACCACTTGAGCCACAGAGGCATTTCCAGTTTTCTAGTATTTTATTGGAGATTTTTTTTTTTGAGTAGTTTATTGGAAATAAGAGTCTCACGGACTTTCCTGCCCGGGCTGGCTTTGATCTGTGATTCTCAGATCTCAGCCTCCTGAGTAGCTAGGATAATAGGCGTGAGCCATCCGGCTATTGTTTGTTCTAATTTATTATTAGTTTTTATTTGTTGTTTAGACTCTCTTACTGTGCCTAGTGCATCAAATATCACCAATATGTATATGCAGGGAAAAGCAGTAAACATAGAATTCTGTAGCATCCTTAGTTTCAGACATCTCTTGGTGGTCTTAGAACTCACACTCTGAAGATAATGATATGCAACTAGCATTTCATAGAAAAGTGTGGGTTTGCTTTTAATTTGTGGGAATGGCATTGCAAAGAAGGGATTTAAACCATTAATAATAACTGAAATCAATGTATTAGATAAAATGGATGGCTCAAGGACCAAGGCTATCTACAGAGATGAGAAACTGTGATAGCCATTGAATAGGAAGCAAATAGCACTTCTAAATCGATAAAAGGAAAAGTAGAATATTGCAGGAACACATCAACCTCAAGAGTTAAACAGTTCTGAGTATTAAATGGTACAGAGTAATTGAGTACAATGGGATAAAGTGTCCGTATAATATTTTTTTTATTAACCAAAACTTCAGCACTTATTTCACTATTTTCTTCCTGACTGGGTTAGAAGGGATAGTGTGTAAATCTGGTGAGTTTCCTTTCGATGGCAATTTCTGTCTTTTATTGCCCACCTTTCTCTGTGAAACAATAATGATGTTCAGGCTGACAGGCCTTTTGTCTCCACATATCAAATTCAGACCCTCCATTAGTGTCTCAAGTGTGTTTGTCCTCCCATAATTGTGAATTCTATTAAACAATTTTACAATAAAATTTACATTGACTAGGCAGCTGTCTCCTTCAATAATAGAAGAGCATATGTGCTATAGATTCCTAGACATGCTGACTACAATTTTAGACTGATTTAAATTTACTGAGCTTTGAAAAGGAAGAAAGTATTGGTTGTCTTAGGCTCCAATACTTCTCTTGGCCTGATTTATCCATCTATCAATATTCATACATACATTGTTATATACAAGGCTTAAGATTCATTCTGCAATCAATAAAAGTGCATCAAACCCCCCTCTTCCCTTTGGGTTCTCTGGTGGACATAACTATGATCTTTCAGGCATGGAAAAAGAAAAGTAATAGCTGAAATTTGGTAGTACTTCATCATCCCATGGACATTTGTGAGTTGCTTCTGTGATGAAAGAGCTACTGTTAGCTATCTAACTGAAGGAAACTAAGAATTCTTTAAAAGTTAAAGGACTACTATAGGGTCATTGAGAAAATAAATAAATGATCTGGATGTTCATCTTACTTTAAATTTGCAGTTGTGTGCATTAAAATACTTGCTAATGACTCTTACATTTATTTCTGCAATAGAGTGTATTCTGAACACACACATATACATACATACACACACACAGACAGGCATACTTCTGCCTAAATCATGTCCAACAAGCTAAGATTAAAATGGATATTTTACTATCTATCTAAAGTTATGACAGTACTGCATATACAACTAAAGCAAATACACCATATATATTTATGCAACTACACCTATAGCATCACAGACACACATGCATCACCAAATGTAAAATACTTTTTGTAATCATATAATTAAGTTAAAAAGTTGTCACACTGGCTTTTCATGCAGTAGTATCTAACATTTATTAGGAAACAAATCAATTACCTGTGTAGCTGTAGACATCTGTTTCAACAGCAAATTAAAAACAAACAAAGAAGGCATGTAGTTAAGCCAAAATAGTTTATGTAGAGATTGTAGAATGTCTTAGTTTTAAGAAGAAAAAGGCATATTTACTAAAATACTCCATGCAGGGGAGAATATTATTTTCATAGTTAAATTTATTCTATACTACCTTATCCCATTTTCAGATTGTAAGCACTTATCCAAGCACTGCTTCAGAAATGTTTTCCAGTTATTTTGGAATTCATTTCTTATTTCAAGGAAATGCAATTGATGTTGTTCCAATTCATTCTTAACTAAAT